GGGTTTCAGGCTTTAATCCAAGTTATAAAAGCACAGAAGAGCTTTGGTTTATCAAATCTGGTTTTAATTTTCTATCCATTTAGCCAGCTACAAACCAGAGGATCACCAGGCAGGTCAGCATGTTAGCTTAGAGTCCGATTGATTAGTTCAGGTTAAGAGTGAAGGGACCAGGCATAGAGTGATTGTAGTGAGTCTGAAAAAGTAGCCAGAATGACAACTATCCCTTTCCCTCCTTTTCCCTCAGTGCTCCCCAGACCCTACAGTGCTCCATCCAGACATTCATCTGAGAGATGAGGCCATATGTTCACTTCTCTTGCATCATTATCATACTACAAGCTACCTCCTGTTCTCAGCATCCCAGCCCCCACTGCCTGACAGTGAGCCACGCTCACCTGCGAGCTTACCTATCAGGCCATCCTATATTTCATCTGATCTAGCTTTTCTAATCTACCCTCCACTCTGCAGCGGAAGAGATGAGAGTATTCTGCACAACTACTGATCTTTCCATAGCTTCTCACAACCTCCAGAGGAAAGGGAGCACTTTAGAGGCTGGCTCATGGATTCTCTGTGATGTCACCTCTTCATGTCTTACCAATATCAGTTGACAACATTTGTGCAGGACTTTGTAGCTCAGCCCTGCCTTATACTTCCTTCATAGCACTTCCATTTCTGTATCCCTCCCTCCACTCATTTGCCTCCCTTCCATTCTCCATATTCAAATTCTTTCCTACCCAAGGTTAGACCTCCTCTGCTATTCCAACCTTGATAGCCTATCCCAGGTAATGATTAGAAGACCTTTCCCTGGACTCATATAACCTTGAGCATTACTTGTTGCACTCTTCTTAGTTTCTATGTCTGATACCCCTAAAATGTTTAGTTTATTTAAAAGGTCCTTTCACAGCTCATAGTGGAACCTCGGCCTCTGACATGGGGAAGAAGAGAGAACAGAGAAGTTTCCATAATGTCTTCACACCAAATGATCAAGATCCTACTCCATCTATATCATAGGTAGAGGGCTACAGAGCACTGGTTCATACTGTCAGTTTCCTTTGTGATGTGAGGGCCATCCTTTATGACAACTTCAGAGATGTCTCTGCAGCCACCTAAAAATGATTCATGTTTAAGCAGAAGCATTCAACATTGCTGAGCTCCCAGCATGTTCCAGGAAACTGAAAAACATTAGCAATGCCATGGATTCCCACTAATTCTCTCAAATAATATTTGAATTTACATATACACCTGCCAGTTAGTTAAATAAAGGACTTCTTGTTGTCTGGGCAGTGTAGCAAACATTTTACCTGGACGGGAGGTGGATAAGTTATCCAACTAGTCTGAAATGCCAAAGATCATATTCAATACCCTTGCTTCACAAGGAAAGAAAAAGGTTCCTCATGGTAGTGGTAGCATCAGACATTGAAGTGTGTAGTTTCAACATGTTGTGAGGTTTGAAGAAAAGGATAGATGTAGGACCAAAGATGGAAGACCAGCGATATAACCTCAGCTGAGAGCATAGGTCAGTATATTTGAGCATTGAGAGTTAAGCAGGGATATCAAAATCCTCCAGGTAGTTTACAGATTATGAAATCAAGGTCTGGAAATGAGGGACAAGTCAACAGTCCTATAAGCAAAGTGATGTCAGAGGCAGAATCCATTTCTGAATCAGAACCACAGCCAATTCTAAATCCCCCTTAGACTCTCACATTTAAACAAAGGTATTCTCTCTCCCTCCCCTCCCCTCTCCTCCCCTCTACTTTCCCCTCCTCCTCTCTTCCTCTCTCCCTCTCTCTCCTTCTCACCCTCTCTTTTCTTTCCCTTTTTCCCCTTGCCTTCCTTCCCCCCTCCCTCCCTCCCAAATTATAATGTCTCTTTTGTAAGTAAAATACAGCAAAGAAATGGATTTAGGGCATTTAAAATAATTCTGAAACCTTCTAGAACTTGCAACTATACTTTTCATTGGGAAGTCACATGTTTTATTGTTTGTTTTGTTTTTTACTTTTTTTTTCTACTTTACATCTTCTGAGGCTACCTTCTAGGAAGGCAACCATCATTATGATACCTTACAGAGAAGGCAAGTGGCCAAGGGAATACAATGATTTACTGAAGGTCACAGTAAGCTAACAAGAAGAGGAAACAGGGTTTTGGAGTGCACCTCATTTGATATTGTGTAATTAAGGCCAGGCATGTTGCTCATTTTCTAGAAGAGAAATGAGCGGGGGTGGGGGAACAGAGGAGGGGACAGAAGAGTGTGTGTTCATGTGCTTTTGCTGAGTACTTTATAGACCATGGGAAGGGTTTTTTATTCCAGTTTTTTCTTTTTGCTTTTGCATAGCTACTACTTTACTCCAAGTGTTCAGTATCTACTGTGAGATTGACTCCAACAACAGTATGCTACAAATGAGGAAACTGAGGCAAAGGAGAGTCTACCACTCTAGCTTCCAGTCCTCATAGGACATGGGTTGAATTATAGGCTTCCTGAAGCCAGATTTCCTATTATATGAAAACTGAGTAAAAAGGGGGAAATGGAAGGAGGAGAAATATATCCGAAGTCCGAAATATTTAGCAACCATTATATGAAAGCCATTTAGGCTCAGATTCTAACAATTCTAAAGTGTCCCTTGTGAAGAAATGAACATATTGAGACTATGTTTGTGCTTGCTGCACTGAGACAGGAAAACACCAGGTACAGGCTTTGTGATGCCTTTTTCAGGACAGGTGGCCAAACTGATGGCCCATTCTCTCAGCATCATTCACCATAGCTTGTGGGATCACAAGAGAGGCATCGTAGGAGAAGACCATGCCCTCATGGAGCATAGAGTCTAGAGAGAAGAGATATGTGTAACAAGCAATGACACAGCACAGTCTGTCAGTCACACCAGGTACAGAGTGTCAAGGAAGCACAGGAGAGGATCAGAGAAGGCTCCAGATATGATGGAGCTTTTGAACTGGGCCACAAAAAAGAAGAAAGTGAGAAACGGTTACTCTGCAGAGACACCAGCATGGGCAAAATCAGAAGCACAAAAGAGCAGAGCACAGGCCTGGCTCATTTCAGAGATTGCAGTTCCCTCAGCAGTGAGATCAAGCTGTACATATTTGGTCAGGTTCATCTAATAAATCTGGCATTATGGAGCAGAGTGGGATTGAGGCAACTGCAGCTTGCAAAGACTCCACAGTGTATGCAACACTTAAAGGCGCCCTCACTTTGTGCAAATATCTCTTCACACTATCAGATATTTGGTCCCACTCTGTGTTACACAGAACAAACACTGTTTGGAGAGAGAGGAGCACCGCCTTCCATGGCAAAGCTAGCTCGTGACCTTCAGCAGTCATAAACAAGGAGGAGACAAAGTATTTCCCCCAATAAAGCCCTCTTTATATTGCCCAGGTATCTCTGGAACAAGACAATATCCCAGCCACGACTCGATAAGTTCCACTCTTTCCATAGGTGATACCTGTGTAATACCTTGCTAATCTGAGGAGTTTTTTTTTCTTTTGAAAATGATGACTTTCTTAAAATCACATTAGTCATACATAAGATTTTAAAATCTTGCCCCATTTGTATCCTCTGCCATTACATTTTATTATGATGAGAACCTAGCAAACTCTAAGTGTTGCTAGCATCACATTCTGTAGATGAAAAAAAATCCCAACAAGACAGGAGCAATTCAAGGTCATACAACAGGTATGATGAAAGCAGAGTTCAGACCTGTTTGTTTCTGACTCAAGAATCTTGCCCTCTTTCCTCTACACTACAATGTAGCATCTCCCTATAATATATTGTCCTCATTGTCGTATAAATCCCCAGATGAAATGCTGGCTAGATCACATTCTCTTGGGTAACATAACTACATCATAAATTAAAAGCCCAATTAAAGAACATACCTTTTTAACTGGGACTTACCACAGTCCCCTGAGGCTAAGATATAAAAGCAGAACCCTTTCACAGTCAGTGGCTATCCATCTTGGAAATTCTTCAGAAATCTGCTAAACTCTATGAGGAGCTTTTGAATAAAATTACTCAGCTAACACAACTCCCTCCCCTCGGGTCTTCTGGTGTTCTTCTCCCAGAAGAACTGGGTTAAATCATGTGTCAAACTCCAGCCCTCACTATAATCCAAAGAATGCAGATAAAAGTCCATCAAACATCAGGTGCATCCAGGCTTTAAAACAAACTTAACATTGGGAGCATTGGAGCCCAGTGGAAAACATTGCCCTCCTGGATTTTATGAGGGAATTGAAGTGGAGTTCTCTTCTCCAGCTGTCTGAAAGTAGGATACTTCATCAGTAGCCAAGGGCCAGACAGAGGGTATCTCTAACCCCATGCAGTGTTTGTTTTGCTGGCATCAGGGAGGGAGAAAAAAGTAGGTGAAGAGAATGGAGGGGGGTATTCTCTTCTCCATTCTGGTTAAAATTTTATTTCTGTTAACATCCAGTCCCCCAATGACCAAAACATCTTATCTGTAGAACAGTAAACTTCAGGCATACCCCAAACCTTAAGAGTTACTACTACCTTGTCTAAACATTCCCTGCATTGGTTGTGTTTAAATCTTGCTGTACATATAAAGAGCTACTGTGTGTTTTAGTCCCTTTCCGGCAAACAGCTGAACTACAGTGCTCTCCACCCAGAAAAGAGATGGTCTCTGAGTCAGCTTGCCCCACATAGAACAGAGACCATAGCCCCTCCACCTCTACAAGGTCTTCTTTTGAGCCTGCCTGGGTTCAGTGGCTCAGAGGACCTGAATAGGTCCGAATAAGCCCCTTAGGACCACCACATTCACACAGTCACATTTAATTGTCCTTCTTGTCTCTCAGGACTTGCCCTCATGTGGGACAAAATCAGAGGACAGGGGTATCTGGGGAAAAAAAATAAAGATTAAAAAAAAATCGCAGAAGAACCCCTACTCAGTAATAGAAAGCCATCCAACTAGCAACCACACTTCCAGAAACGTCACTGTCACAGAAAGAGTTTTACAGCTGGTGACCCCCACAGCATTCTCACCTACCTGTCTCCCACTGCAGGGCTCTCTCTCACACGTCCTAGGGCCCTGTTCCAGCTCTGGTCCCGCTCTCTTCTGGTCTCCTTTTCCAGCAGCCAACACGGGCAGCGACTGTGGGCGGACCAAGGAGTCAGCGGCACCTGCAAGCTCTGTCTCAGGTCTCTACTGAGAGATTGCCTGGAGGAGGAGCAAGCGGATGCTGCCCTCACCGCCACCGCCACTGCCACTGCCGCCGTGGTGCTGATGCGGTTGCTATGGTTATGGAACTCCGCAGCTGCCCCCTCTTGGTGCAACAGCTGCCCGGCCACCGCGGCCTCCTGGCAGCCGGAGCTAACGTGCCCGAGGCAAGGTTGTGAATGTGGTTAAGGGAATTCTTCCCCCGCCTAGGAGAAGACTGGGAGCCTGTACTTGAGCTGTGGCTGGGTCTCACCTCCAGCGCCCTTGCTCTCTTTCCCACGCCAGAACCTAAGGCCAGACTCCAGCAACACACAGAGCACGCTCAAGGCCTAGAGAGCCCTCCCTGCCGCTCAGCTCTGCTCCTGCAGCCTCTGCGCACCGCGGTAGGCTGCTCGACTAGCTGGGAGGCGCCGCTCGCGTCCCCCACCTCTGTCCGCCAGAAGAGCCCAGGCGCACTAGGCTGCCCTGCGGCCAAACCCCGCCCGCTCGCAGGCTCTCCTGCCAGCCCGCCCGGCCTGTGGAGGGCGCAAGATGCTGGGCCAAAGAAGTCTGTCCTCAACCAGCCTAAGCTGGCCAGGAGCATGCTCAGTCTCCACGCGCGGATTGTCCTCCAGAGCCAAGAGAGCGATGCAGTTACAAGGAAAGGTTTCTTTCAGACCCCAGGGAAGAGAGGTAATAAACTTGGGAGAAGTAGGGGATGCAACAAGTACATACCTAAGTAAGTAAGTAAGTAAGTAAGTAAGTAAATAAATAGTCTGAAAGCGGGAAGTGACCCATACCACCACTACTAAATATGCAATGGTCATTAGGCAGCAACTCATTCATCATTTGCAGATGTTCTTCATGCTAAACACTGAGGGTTCAGAAGTGTGCCAATTTGGTCCATGGAGAAAATAAGAACAATGGAAAAACGTAAGCCAACTCAAATCTACTGGCCATTCTTCGGCGGGCAGTGTGCTTGGGAATGTATCATCTCACCATGACTGTGTCAAGAAGTTCTTGTGTCCTACTTGTTACAGGTGACAGAACAGCCTTAAAAGTGGAACCAGTGCTAGGATTTGGAAGCTGAGTGTTCTGTCTGTAAGGCTAAGCTGCAGCAGTTCCCATGGGTGGGATAGAATGTCCGATTGATTTATAAGGGGGATGTGAAGGAAAGACACTTGCAAGAAGGTGCAAGTATACCCAGAAGTGATGGTAATGAATGGGGAAGAATATTCCAGAATGAAAGGGCAGGCAACCCCTCCCCAAACTAGATAGACAGGACTGTTTGATTTTGTTTTGCCCTTTTTTCCACAGGGAACACCCAGTATGGCTAGAGCAGAGGGAGCCAGGGAAGGGGAGACAAGAGCTTGATACACTCCAAGGACTGGAGGAGCCAAGACAAAGTTAGATTTGACCTTGAACACAGTGGGACACAGGAATTTAAGCAAGGGAAAGGGTAGGTCATCATGTAAAGACAATTGCCTACTTGGCAGTGAGTATCAAGGTGCCAAAGGGTTACCCTGAAGGTGCTGTTGGTACAGAGAGCAGAGCAAATGACCCATCTGCTTTGCTGATCCTCCCCATAGCATCCAGCCAAGCCCAGAACAATGCATACCCAAGTAAATACCGGGAGAATGACTAATAAAGGATTATTTGTTTCTCCATCAGGGAAAATGAGTGTTGTCCTTTTGCAAATATTTGTCCTTGAAATATGATTAAAACCAGATGACATCTATTTGCATTTCAGTTCTATGCAACCTTACTTTGGAAAGTCAAAGCTAGCCTCTGGGGTTTTTTTTTTCCTTGCACTTCCTGATCCCAGCAGAGTAGGTATGCTGAGATTATTGTTCCTTGCATTGGAATAAACATGTTTCAAGCATCTAGATTGGAAAGTTCCATGATATGTTAAATGAAGAAAGCAAAGTACAGGATAATGTTTCAAACAGCATAGCTCTCATGGATTAAGGAACGAAATATCCAGGCAAATTTGCATTTTCTTGTCTTGTATTGGCATAGAAATGCACTGGGGGTGGGGGGGGCTAGGTAAGAAACTCTGAGAAATAGCTAAGGCAGGTAAGGCTAGGAGAGAACTGAATGGACAGGTTTGGAGTGGGAATCAGACAAAGCACTTCTATGTAAAACATTTCATGGTGGGAGAGAGAGGATCTCATATACTCCATCCAACCCTCAAAATTTCTATGTTGCCAAGGCTGATCTTGAATTCCTGATCCTCCTGCCTCTATCCCCTGAGGACTGGATTACAGACTAGTATCACCATGCTTGACTTCTGTAAAACCGTTTAACGTCTGAACCAAAAAAAATATATATTACATAGTGTGTACACAGGTAATATGACACATTCCAAACAGATGCATCACCAGACCTACCTCTGTCCCCTTTATGGCAAAACGGCATTAAGCATAAAGCCCCTCCTCTTAAAACCCTACCTGTGATCAGCCATTATGATACTCATCAGTCTCTTGGCTTGCGTGATAGCATCTGGAACCAACCATCCCCTGATATTATACCCTCCTGATAGCTAGACCCATTCACTCCTTAGCTGGTGCATTTGTCTGACTTTGTTAACTTGACTCAATCTAGAATCACCTGGGAAGAGAATGCCAATGAAGGATCTTCTAGGTCTGGGGAATTACCTTGATTGTGTTAATTATAGTAGGGAGACCTGTTCACTGTGGGTGGCACCATTCCCTAGGCAGGAAAATCTGCCCACTGTCGATAGCACCATTGCCTAGACAGAGTATAGTTCTCAGTTACTGATTGTGGATGTGATTTCATCAACTCCCTCAAGCTCTTGTTGTGTGACTTTCATGCTATGATGGGCAATAGCAGAACTGTGAGCTAAAATAAGTCCATTGTACCCTAAGTTGTTTTGTCAGGGTGTTTTATCAAAGCAACAAGGGATTAAAACTAAGACAATTCTCAAAATCTGACAATTGGATAATACAAATGACCTGTAAGAAGTCCCACAGAGGTCCACAGTGAGCCTCAGTAGAAATGAATCTAAAACGAAAATAGCAATTGCTACTCTTTGCACTTCTTGCAGAATGAGTCCCAACCATCAAATAAAAGAAGCAGAGGCCTCATAGTCTCCCAGATGTTCTTCTCTTTGCTTCCTTCCTCTAAAAACATTGCATTAAATACAACCCATCAGTTCTACAATGTGCTTATCTTTAATGTAATCTATGACAGGAGGCCAGTGAGAATTCTGAATCTGATTCATCAAGGGCAGTGGTTATAAAGTAGAGAAACAGGCGTAGCATTAGCTTTAGGTTTAGATTGCTTAGTCAGATTGGATAAGGGAGGAGATTAATTACATGGCAAGCACTCAGCTATCCAGACCCAGAACTGATATAGAATTGGGTAGTAGTAATGCCTCTTTGAAGGGGTGAGCATCAAAATATACAGTCTGGGATGTGAGAGACAGACATTTTTTGCTGAGATTGACTCTGGGATTCAGGGTGAAAATTCCCTTCCTCGGAGAAATAAAGGGGGGGGGGCTGAGATTCTTGTGGGTGAACAAGGAATCCATGCAAAACAGGCCAGCATCTCTGACTGGGAGACAAGATTTTAATAGTGACACCCTGTGGTATTCAGAAGCAAGTGTCACAAAGAGTGCTGAATGAAGGTGTGTGAAGACAGTCAGAACCCCTCCACTTCAAAATGAACAAACCTAATGGGTTTTGGTCAATCTGGGAGGAACAAGATTCCACCCCCAAAAGAAATATCTGGAATGATTCTGGCCTTGTGAAACAAGATAATCTCTGGCAATTAGGTAATCAAATTTGACGTTGCCCCTATTTGATCCAGCAAAAAAAAACAAACAACAAAACACATGCACATGCACACGCACACGCACACGCACGCACACACACACACACACACACACACCCCTCTATGTCCTCCAAAGCTTAAGCATGTCTGTGAATTGTTACTCACCCTACAAAATCCTAGTCTTCATGAAACATTCCTAGGTTTACATCTATGGTTAGCTTTCTCTTCTGCTGGCCAGAGCTTATAGAAGCACTTACATAAAGAGATATTCCTTACATCAAACTGAGAAGTCTTTGAATGGAGTTCTTTTTAATATTTGTTATTACTTTTATTATTTCTGTATATGAGTGTTCTGCCTGCATGCATGAATACACACTGCATGCATGTCTGATGTCTACAAAGGACAGAAGTAGGCATTAGATTCCCTGGAACTAGATAGAGTTAAGGATCGTTGTGAGCCCCCATTCAAGTGCTGGGAACTGAACCTGTGTCCTCTAAAAGAGCAGCTAGTGCTTTTAACCAGTGAATCATCTCTTCAGACAAACCAGAAGAGAGCGTCAAACTCCATTACACATGGTTGTGAGTCACTATGTCTCTAGCCTTGGATCCATATTGTTTTAACCACATACTGCAATCAATGCTTTCTCTGGAGTATATGTAATAGTAATTATAGCAAGCACATGGGAGCGTGCTTCCTGGACATCAGCACTGTCCCAGATACTGTGCCCAATCCCATGGAGCCATTACAGTAATTCTAGAATAGCACTATGACAAGGAAACTGAAACAAAGCGGTAGAGTTTGCTGAATTCACACAAGTATGGGAGCTATGTCAGGATTTTGACAATTAGTCCATGCTCCTTCCAATACCATAAGCACCTTGGAGTGCCTCCTGGGACTTGCTTCCATTTTCAATGTTTTTTAGATTCACACATTATACAGGTGCCGTGCCAGCAATCATAAATTGAGTAGTCTCAACTTTAGCATCCTTAGGAGTTGCGTCTCGACAATTCTAGGCCCCAAGGGATTGTCTGTAAACTGTAAGATATCCAACAGTATTCCAGACCTCATCCTATTACATGCCAGGAAATCATTCACCTCTATCCTAATCTACAGAAACTGACAATTGTACCACAAATCTAACTGAGCAATCAGCAGCAATCCAAAGAGCAGAAGTGATGTGTCACCTCCCATGTGTACAAACAGCAGGCTTAAGATCAGCA